AGAAAAAAGGGGGGCAATGCCCCGTACACCAACATTAGAAAACACAAAAAAAGGTTTGTTTGCTGTGTTGCTAAGATATCCAGCCCAATATATATATATATATATATATATATATATATATATATATATATATATATATATTATATATATATATATATATATATATATATATATATATATATCTCACCCTGATTTTGGGTCGACCTTCATTTTTGGCTGCTAAGGTCAAGGAAATAGGGGAGGCCGAGACAAACCATTAGGCCGAAGTCAAGAAAAGTGGATTGAAAAAAAAAAAAACCAAATTTTTATGATGTATGGACGTCATGATTCCACTTCCCCTGACATGATAGCTGAAAGGTAGGCCACATGTTTGGTGAAGCAGAAAGATTTGATGTGACTTAGATATGGTATTATTGTGACTCAACAGTGTTTTCACTTTGTTTATGCTTGCCTTCGTTCTGAGCTTCTTGACCTCAACTCAATATATATATACATATATATACTGAGTCGAGTAATTGAGACCATTCGACTTATGAGCTGAAGCTCAAGGAAACTAGGGGGCAATATTTGGACCCAAAATTACACCATCGACCCGAGTAATCGAGACCGTTGAGTAAGCATACCTCTACACAGTCAAAGGAAAAGTGAAGATAATTTTAGTAAGGGTAAAAGATAACATTATGGTTTCATTTATCATGATTATCTTTTAATAATGATTTATCTTGACATTTTCTTATGAAAATAATGATTTGGCATTTTGAGCCAAAAGGTCGTTTCACTGTAAAATCAGCTTATCACGTAGCGTGCAATTGGCTCCAACAGTCTGCTAGGGGAATATCCTCATTGTCTAATAGACTTTCATACTCCAAACTTTGGTCTGGAATTTGGAATGCTAGTGTGCCCCCAAAGGTGCGATTGGCTTGTTGGAGTTTTGTAACAATCTCATCCCAACGAAGTAGAATTTGGAGAAAAAACGTGTGGTGATAGAACTATCGTGTGTTCTATGCAATTCTAGTACTGAGGCAACCTTACATATCTTTAGAGCACTTCCACCGGAGGTGAAATGTGCCAGCACCTAGTAAAAAAACCAGGCTGGGGGTCAGTGCATCAACTCCAGCCTGTGGAATAGACTGGCACCCAGCCCAAGCCAGTCCACAGGCCGACCTAAATCGACATAGGAAGGAGACGGCTCATCTGACGCCATACTAACGTCATGGCTACCGTCTCTCTCATCTGGAACCCTATCAAATGCCTAAAACCCCACCCCGATCCCTGGAACCCCATCAACCCCCTTCCCCTGATAAATCCATATATTCAACACCAAGTCCCCCTTCCAAATCGTGATCTTCCTTCAACTCGGATTGTCGTCGATCGGTTGATGGATCTTCCTGCAACTAGAACTTTTTTTTCCGTTTTGTATATTTTCGATGAATTTTGAATATGTAGGTGTTGATTTTTAGGGGTTTACAGTGTGTGCAGGTCAAGGATGGTGGGTGTCCATGTTTAGAGTAGGGTGGGTTCGACGGCGTGGTGTACAGAGAGAAGAAAAAAGTGGGAAATGTGGGAAGAAGAAGAAGATGATGACAGGAGTCAGAGAGAAGAAGAAGAAGGGAGTCAGAGAGAAGAAGTCAGAAATTAAAAAACCAAATTATTATTTTATAATAAAAATTAATAATATTTTAATAAAATTGACTAGGCTATTTTTTGTTAGGGGTGGAGATGTTTTGGCTTATTACTGTTCACTGGGGTCTATTATTGTTCACTTGAGTGGATAAATGCACTGGGTGCTGACGCAAAATCTTTAGGGGTGCTGAAGATACTTAAGTTCATTAGTGTTTGTTTTTATTTGGTGTGTTTATTGTATTTTATGTGGAGTGTTTTTTAAGTTCATTTAGTGAGTTGAAATGTAATTTTGGTATGTTGATGTAATTTTATTTGGTGTGTTTTTTTGGTGTGTTGATGTAATTTATTTGGTGTGTTGATGTAATTTTATTTGGTGTGTTTTTTTTTTTTTTTGGTGTGTTGATGTTATTTTATTTGGTGTGTTTAAATGTGTTTTGAATAAAGTACTAAATTAAATAAATTGGAAACAACATAAAGTACTAAATTCAATAAATAACCAAATTAAATAAATATGCTCTTAGTTTAAATAAAGTACTAAATTCAATAAATTGGAAACAACATAAAGTACTCTATTCAATGAATAAGAAATTACAATCCAAATAAGAAATTACAACCCGAATTGATTGGAAAATTATGAGTTCGTGAATGGATAATCATCACCTAACCAATTTGTCGTGCTAGGAAGATCTTCTGTTGTCGTGCTAGGATGATCTTCTGTTGTCGTGCTAGGACCATTTCCTCTTACTCTCGCTTCTCTTGCATGCCTCTTTCGCATCACGTCCGCTTTCTCCGACTTCCAAAAATATTTAGAGTTTGGAGACTTTCCTTCTAAAGGCTCATTTATAATGTTACGATCTTGTTCAACCATTTTTTCTTCTCTTCTATGTTCCATTTCTTGCCAAAGTAGTTCTCTTTCTCTCTCATCAGCTTCAATTTTTTTCTCAAAAACTGCAGCTTTTGCATCATCTCTAGCCTTATCAGTCTCAAATTTAGCCATTTTCCAAGCCAAAGTCAATTCACCTTGGTGGGCAAGGTCTTCCATATACTTTGCATAATCTTTCTTGGAAGCATTACCTTTTCTTTTTGAAGCCTTCTTACCTTGAGGCCTAATTGGAAAATAGGTCGACCCCAACGCTTGTTCAATGGGGGGCGTTTCGGGCACTTCTTCTCCATCATCTTTATCATGATCATGCGAGGCATGATCGGGTGTAGAGTATAGATGGGTGTTGTTCATGAAAACTTTTGGACCGACAGACACAATTTTGAATTTAGGACAATCTTTGACAATATTCCAACATTCAAACTGGGTGAATGTTTTGTTTTTGCTTTTGGTTTTGGCACCATACCAAGCTTGTGCTTGAAGTTCCTACACAATGCGGGAGGATAAATAATTATAATGAGAATAGGTAACAAATAAATAATACAAACAAATAATTATAATGAAAATAGGTAACAAATAAATAATACAAACAAATAATTATAATGAAAGTAGCTAACAAATAAATAATACAAACAAATAATTATAATGAAAGTAGCTAACAATTAAATAATACAAACAAATAAATAATATATTGTTACCTGATCCGCTAAATTTTCCCCACTTCGAAAATTACCACTAGCTTGTGCCAAGGCGTCTCTCCACGTACTAAACGCTTGGCAAAGTAATTTCCAACGACTGGACATCGATTCTTTAGTTCTTTGCCCACCCATTTTCTCAAGATAATTGGTATAAATAACATTTCTCACAACTGCATCTCATTACCCGTAAGTGAATCATGAGTAACTTGAACTCAGCTAATACACAACGCAACATATTCAAGAAGCGTCTAATTTGTACCTGCTTGAGTAGTCATTTTGTTAGAAAAAAATTGGATTCAAACTTTGAGAGAAATATAGGAATGTGGTTGAAAGTAGTTGAGAAAATATGAAATTGTGGTGTAAGGTAGAATATAATGAGAAGGTATATATAGAAAAGTAAAATCAATTTTTTTTTATAATTTTTCATAATTTTTTTTTCGGATTTTAAAGAATATTTTACAATTTTTTTAATTTTTATTCACCTAATTAATCTTTGCCGTTGGATTTAAAAAAATTTGAATTTCAACACTCCAGATTGTGCCACGTGGCACAACGATAACATTTCAGAATTTTTAACTGTTTTTTTTTTAATTTACAAAGCCTAATAACGTGAACCGTTGATCTTAGATCCACAAATTAAATGACAATTTTTAAATATTTTTTACCGTTGGAAATCCAATGGTCTATAAAATAAGACCGTTGCAATTGAACGGACACGTGGCTTCCCAACAGTAACTTTTCAAAACAGGCGTCGCCAGCCCCAGCGCTGTTTTTTTATCGGAAGAAGCACATCCAAGCGCGCGTGAAACGCACACACCTGACGCAGCCCTCGGGCTCTCGGGCTGGCAATCAATGCCGGGCCTGCTCCTCGGACCTCGCTTGTCACTCGGGCTTCCCAACGCTGGAGCCTATCCCCCCCCCAGCAATTTGCTCCTGTTTGAAAGCCTGGCCCCCGAGCAACCTCCCCCGCTGGAGTTGCTATTAGGGATTGCCATTTTGCCCGATGTGCCTGGATATCTTCCTCGTTGGGGACTCTGCCACGAATGAAAGACCCTATTTCTTTCAAGGCTTGGGCTTTGGACCTGATTGAGCGGTTCCCACCCCATTACTTTGAGATTTTCATGATGACTTGTTCGCCTATTTGGAATTGCAGGAATTCAGTTCTATGGAATGCTAAATGTGATTCTCCGGACCTTGCAGCAGCCCGAGCTATATCTTGGCTGTAGGATTTTGTTAGGGTCACAACAGCTACATCTCGCCCCCAAAGTTCTGCTCCGACCACCCTAAATGGTCTCTCCTGCCAACGGGCCGCCTTAAGATGAATTTTGATGGCGCATGGAGGGAGAGTCTTAAGGTAGGTGGAGCGGGAATTGTCATTAGAGATGATGGAGGTAATTTTCGTTGGCTACTGTAAGATTTTTAAGGATGTTTTCACTCATTTACAAGCGGAAGCGTTGGCTGTTTGAGATGGTATGGTTTGGGCGGCGTCCAGGGGGTTTTAGAAATTTGATAATCGAAGGTGATTCTCTCCAGATTCTGGGTGCCCTCACGGAGCCTTCTACCAATTTGTCTAACATTGGGCATATTGTGGAAGAGGCAAAGGTTTGGCTCCCCATAGTCACTGAAGAAGCATGTACCCATGTCCGCCACCAAGCCAATGGGGTTGCCCATCGTCTCGCTTGTTTCAGCCTTAGCATTGGAGACCATTGCGAGTGGATCTGCCCTCTAAAACTCAGTTTTCTGAGCTTCTCAATGAAAATCGTATCGTTTCAATCAAAAGAAAAAAAAAAGAACAGAAGTAATCAAGTGAGCTTGCGCTTATACTGTATTGTGTTTCCATGTCCATGCCCAACAGTTACACAACTTTCCTACAATTGAATCAAAAGAATAAGACGGAGAGGAGCACAAGTATATACAAAAAATGAGCACCATACCCTGTAAAGGATATAAAATACCATATTACAACGAACAAATAACAACGAGAGATGAAACGCAAAGGTCATTGGCCTCATTCATCTTTCGTCCCATTATCGTGTCTCTTATTCTGCCCAACTTCGACAAGCAATGTCAAAAGAGCTTCACACACTTGAGAAGCATCTGCTTCGGAAGGGTCATCTGACAGTGACGAGTATACCATCCAGGCATGGTCTAATTTACGCTTTGGACGCACAACAATGGATCCAGGAACTTCTGCATCGCAGCATGTGACAAGTCCATCACTCTTCTTGCCATATCTGACCTGAAGAAGCTGTGCACAGGCAGCCATAGCTGCACCAAGGGGCACTACCACTGGAAGTTTTGCTGCTTGGCCTGCAGAAAGAGCGGCAGGTAGCTCGGCATGCGCTACACGAGATAATGTAGCTAAAACAGCAGGAGAAATGGGAGCTTCAGTGTGGCATGAAACAACCGGGAGGTCCTTTGGCAACGGGTGTTTCCTTATAAATTCTCTTCTTTTCTCATAAGTCAAATCTTCCAGGGCTTGTAAATCACCCTTCACAGAAGAAGATGACATGGTATTTCAGAAAAAAATTATTCTAGAAATCAACTGAGAAGTGCTTCACAATAGTAACCTCCAATACACGTTTAATGAGAACAGAAACATTATCGGAAAAGCAAAACAATCATAATAGGAGCACCATAACACCGAAAACATGCTTGACTTCTATTGTTTCTTCCATGGATATCACAACTTATTAAGATTAATATAACTATCATACTTCCGCTAGCATATGAAAGCACAAAAATTGGGTCCTTCACACTATCTACCCCCATCCTCAGGAAAAAACAAAATTAACCCCCATCACCCACATCTTGAATGGCCATCATCAGTCCTAGCAGCACTTGAAACTTCACCAAAATTTTCATGTCAGGCCAAACACCTCAGTCAATAATATATAGACATATTAAGAGCATAAGTCCCACCTACGAGTGCACCCTACTACAGGAACCAAAAGAAAACATGATGATAGGCAAGAAAGCTCAACTGAGTATGACACTGGAACAATGAAAAAACATTTTTCTTTATCATTGTTTTCATTATACACCAGATAGTCACATGCACGCACGAACTCCTTACATACCTTAATCACTTTACAGATCACAATCTCCATTAGCTTTCGCAAGTTCACATAATCACCAAGCTGTCCCTCTCGCAAGATATCTGTAGCTATTGGGCTACCACCATATGGACTCTGTGCTAACGCCAAACCGGCAACCTTATCTTTCAAATCAGGCCAATACAACGATAGAGCAGCTGCTGCATCTATTCCCCCTTTGCTATGTCCCAGAAGCAAGACACGTTTTTTGGAACCCCAATAGAATTCCTCAATGTATTCTTTTATCTCTCGAGCATTTTTTTCAACTGAAGCCTGATTGGTGATTATTAACACTTAGTTGAGAATATAATAATAAGGTGAAAAAGGGCTTTCTTTAAGCAAAAATAATAAATAAATAAATAAATACCTCACTATGAATCTTGGCTATATGGCACACCAGACCCAGTTTTGATAAACTCGTTTTTGTATTTACAAAATATAGTGGTCCATGGTTGCTGAAAAGACCTATTGATTACAAAAGTAACCAAACTTCATAAGCACATAACTATAAGCAAAATGAAGATATATAAAATACTTCGGAATTCCAATCTCCAGACCAAGTATATAGGATTGAAAAGAAAAGCACAAATTTGACGAAGAAAAAACCAAAAATGATCCTGAATGCATCATCCACATCATACAAGCAAGCCACATCAGGGCAGAAATGGGAAGGGAATGGAGACATTGTTTCTCCTTATCCGTTCCCTGACTAAAGTACTATTAACCTTTTGTGTTTCATTCGAAGAAATTATACCTGGAACCAACAAACAAACCATTGAGTTTGGCAATCTGTGAACACCATGCCTGGCAAGGGGAGAAATATTTCATTTAATACTGGCGTCAACATGATAAGAAGATCTATATAAAAGGTCGTACCCAGTGCACAAGGCTCCCGCTTTACGCAGGGTCTGGGAGAGGTGAATGTCGGCTAGCCTTACCCCCATTTATGGAGAGGCTGCTCCCAAGGATAAGAAGATCTATATGCAAAATAAAAATAAAATACAGTATACTACACCTGATATCCCCCAAAATCTCCATGAACCTTTCAGTGCCGTCTTCAACAGGGGGCATTGTCGGATCACGCTGTAGCCATCCTATATCATCTGCCGACCCACGCACAGTTTTTCGAACTCGATCAATAAGGCTGAAATTCAACACAATAATCACCACTAAGTTGAACGCCAGATGATGCAAAAAACAAGAAGCTCACAGAAATACAAGCTTAAAGATATTTCTCTGACAAATGTATGGCTTAGTTTCAATAAGAGGCACATAGGCTACTCTGGTAACTGTGGCAATGAATCATATTCCTACTTTGTGTTGGGAAGTTGCTTGAGGAGGTAAGTTTTTAGTGGCAAGGTTATTTTGGTGGAATTTCAAGATTTGATGCACAAAACTGGTACAAGCATTACTTGGGTCCTAATAAGGGCCACCCCATACTATTAACACTTCATGGTTTCTAAGCTATGTAGGTTTCTTGGACAGCACTGATTCCTAGAAATTTGTTCTGTCTTTCTTTTTCTGCTGCTGTTATTCTTACCTACTCACTGTAACCATAATCAGAATGTTTTTCCCACAATTCCCTGTAAAAGTTTTGTTAGCTTCTTGTAGTGTAATAGCCATCAAGATACAAAAATTTCTGGGTCAAGCTTCTTATTTCTCTGTTAGGGTAAATATTTATTAATAATTATTTTAAAATTTTTTGGGCGGGTTGCCCTTGTGGTTAGCATATATGCTCTTCCAAATCCTTCTTTTGGGTTTTAACTCTATTTGTGGCAGGCTGGGGGTTGTTAATATAAACTCTCCAGATTGAGTCCATTAGTGAATATTCGGCTAACCTGTATTGCTGACTTCTCGCTTAGGAGTCCTACATAGTCCTCCATGCACTGATGTCTTAAGCAATGCAGTAAAGCGTTCCTCTCTTCTACTAAGTTTTCTTTTTATAAAATATTTTAGGTTAATGGTTAACGCATTTCAATTGAAGACTTTACAAGTATAGGTCACCAAGAAGTAGTATGCTAGGAACAAATACCCTTGAAATAAAGGAATGCCACTTTGGCCACCATTGGTAGATTTGATGATGGCACTAGAGTTTCCTGATGAATCTCCTGAAGAACTTCTCACTGTTCCATCAACTACAGAGGGAGCATCAGTTGCAGAACTAGATGACTCTGCAGACGCTGAATGGTATCCACTAGAAGACACATCATCGCTAGATGTAGCAAGGGAGGCGAAAGTTGGCCGAGACCAAAAGGTCACCATTTCCTGAGCATGTCCATTGGAAACCTCTGAATCACTAGAAGAAGGTTCTACTGCAAAATAGTAAGATCCACAACTTATGACAACTCAGAAAAAAAGCACACAAGTAAAATAAAAACTAAACCATAATAATAAATGGTACGGAAATATATAAAAGCAAATACAAAAGGTACATGAGAGAAGCTTATTTCAAAGTGTTCATTGAATTATTCTCATACATGGGAGAAGGTTGAAAGGGATGAAAACGGATCAACTCATAATTTGATGAAAAATCACTTCCACACTCCGAGAAATTATAAGCGCAGAGTACTTGGAAAAAAAAAAACACAAATGAAACTAATGACAATGTACAGAGAAAAAAAAACTGCCGCAAAAGAATAATTTTCCAGGTTTATACAGTAAAGACACCACATTTCATAACCAACTCCCCAGCTCACCTTCCCCACTCCCACTATAAAAAGGTCGTACCCAGTGCACAAGGCTCCCGCTTTACGTAGGGTCTGGGAGAGGTGAATGTCGGCTAGCCTTACCCCCATTAATGGAGAGGCTGCTCCCAAGTCTCGAACCCAAGACCTACCGCTCATGGGCGAAGGCACTTCCCCACTCCCACTATACGTTGAGAAATATAAAGAAGGGAAAACAAGAGAATAAGAAACTCAACCAATCTCGATATGGAATAAGGATGATTACTTACCAGAATAATCAGTGAAACAGCGTGTAAATAATGAAGTTGTCTGAGAAAGATAAGAGGCAGCGTCATTGAGAGCTGGTACTGAGGTAAGCAGCTGAGGAAAGACCCCATCATTTCTCATAGTACCATTCTGAGCCTGGAAAAAAAAGGAGTTGCTAAATAATTATAATTGTTTTTTTCCTAATTACAAATATTGTAAACAATATATCAAAGAAAATGAGCAAGGAATGAAATTCCGAAGTTTCTCAAGTTTTTCTTTTATCCAGCAATGCAACGTAGAGTGCAATAAACAGAGGACAGCACCAAAAGTGGGATACACAATCAGATTCCAGCCACAAAACGATCATCTAAATTTTCATTTCTTTGTACATAAACAAGAGTGCTTAAAGTATAGAGATTAGTCACAAGCAATAATTGGTGCCCTAGTTCCCGATAACCGAGCTTGCTGGAAACTAAATTGAACTGAGAAATAATACTACATTCTCTGCAAAACCATGTGCACCAAAAAAGTTGATCGAAACCTCGCAATCTAATCTCATCCTCATTATATACCTTGAGCAACACCTTAATAATCTCGAGAGGAAACCCCGATTCAATGCGATATCAATAACTCCATTTTAACCACTAATTACAAAGCAACTGCTTTCACATCATAAAATTAATTACCTAAACCTGCCCCAATCTTTCAAAATGTAAATTTTTGCAACAATGTTAATTAATTAAGCTAGCAGCAAAAAAGGAAACAAGTTGAATGATAGATAGGTTACCGTCAACGGTGTCGTTTCGGTGGGATTGGTCTTTCCATCTTGCATTATAGACCTCAATTTCTGCATAATTGAATCATAATTCCAAGGTAAATTCAGGTGCCTAAAAAAAACCCTAAAAATTTGAAATTACCGAAAAGTTTAGAGATGTTGGTGAAATTAATTTACCTGGATTACTACTGCGATTAATTCAGAATCAGATGAATATTGGACGAACTGAAAAAAAATCGGAATTGAATAGAAGTGGAATTAGGGTTTTTGGAAATTTGAAATTATCAGATTTTTCTTCTGCAGGAAGGGGAGAATGAAAGAGGGAGAATTGCGTAACGGCAAAGCAAAAAAGGAAAGAGCAGAAAAGAATAAGAAAACTACGTCGTTTGGTATGTATGAGTTTGTCGTTGTTTCCGCGGCACCGCTCGGAAGCTACCAAAATACAACGCTACTAATTGACGAAAATACCCCAATAGCTACAGATTTTCCTACCATTGTACTTGTGTGCAAAATGTAAGATGTTACATTCGTGCTAGATTATCGTGTTGACGTGTTTTTTTTTTCTTATTTTAAGGAAACAAAATAACGTTACAAGAGGGAAAAATTTCGGGAACACCCAAGGTCCCAGGAGTCAAATAACAAGGCATCATAAGCAGTCAGAGACACACAACTAATGCAAACATGAAAATTCTCTAAACCATTTCCACACAAAATAATGACATCAGCTACAAAATTAGCTTTCCTAAAAATATGATTCTAAGAAATAGATTCAAAAGAAGAGGCCAACTATTTAATGTCTTCAATAGCCCTGATACCAAGGAATCAAAATTCGAACAACTCCATTTCATTAAAATGACCAAATTAAATTAAATTGAAACAACACCATTTCGGAATTTCATTAACGAAATTCTATTGTGCGTGCAATATGCACAACCCTCGTAGTTTATTGAGACAATTCACACCACTAGAGGCTGCGAAGGAGAATGCCTTCAAAAGTAATCCCAGGTCCAAATGCCAAGGCAAGTCCCCATTCCTCATCCCTCCCCTCCTTCTTCTTCAACTTCAACTCCTCCCTCATATTTTCCATCACATAAAAAATGGTGTTGCTACTCACGTTCCCATAGTCCATCAGTGCCCTTCTGCTGCACTCCAGCTTATCACTGCTCAGCTTCAGCGTGCTCTCCATCTTGTTCAGAATCGCAGGTCCGCCCGGGTGCACGGCCCAAAACAGCTCGTTGAAGTTCTTCAGCTCTGCTTTCGCTGGCACGGTCAGCTTCTTGCAAAACTCCTCTATGTTCTCGTCAATTTTCTGGGGCAGGTCCCTTCCAAGCTTGAAGTTAATGCCTTCCTCCGACAGCCTGCCGTCGATCACATTATGAGTCCCGGGGAGGAACTGCTGGACGGCGTAGTTGAGCTCCATGAAAGGAGACTCTTGTCCTGCTATTGGGTTGCTTCCAATGATCACAGCTGCAGCTCCGTCCCCGAATAGCGCTGCCCCTACAAGGTCGTAAGGGCGCGCCTTGTTGGGGGGCCTGAAGCCAAGGATTGTGGTCTCGGAAGTGGTTAGCAAGACGCGGCTTCCAGGGTTGTTTTCAGCTATGTCTTTGGCAACGCGGAGGCCGGTGACACCACCGTAACAGCCTAGGAAGTAGAGCATGACGCGGCCAACATCGTTCCTTAGGCCGAGCTTGCTTGAGAGGTAGAGGTCGCCGCCTGGGAGTCTGATTTCACTTGAGGAGACGTAGACAATGTGAGTGATGTCTTCAACTGGCCTTCCCCATTCCTTGATGCAAGCAAGGCTGGCTTCCAACGCCATCTCCACCACGGCAGGGTTTGCGATTTCAAGCCGCTGTTTGATGGTGGCTGTGCCCTCTGTTGCTAGCTCAGGGTATTTGTCTAGGATCTCCTTGGACATCACTGTGTATCTAGTCTTCACAGTGGTGGTTTTGCCTAAAAAAAAATAAATACATAAATGATCACATAACGCGTCTAAGTACACGTATTATGTGTACCACATCAATGAGATCGTCAGATATGGTACAAATAATTATTCGATTTCGTCAAAAACGTAATTTAGAAACAAGCAAGTAAAGAAACCATTCTAAGAACTTAACTCAAGACATAGTATAAGTAATTTTGCTTACACAGGCGCTCCAGTTTCTCCTTGATGGCGGCATCTTCACATTTTGTATCGCGAATGTAGCCCTCGACCAAGCAGTCTTGAGGGATGAGCTGGCTCGGGAAGGCCTTGCCCAATGCAAGGACGGTTGCCTTCCCCGGCGTAGGAGCATACCTACTTGGGGAACGATATTGCCCGGAAGAACCATTAGTGCCGTTTCTCTCGACCTTCGACATCTTTACAAGACTACGAGGAGGAGACTGAGCAAAGGAAGTTATCTGAGTTTGGAGAAAGGCAAAGGGAATGTGTATATAAGGGGGAGATTTGGGTGGTGTTGGAGAGGAGTTGGTTTCAGAGGGAGAGTAGCATGAAAAGAAAGAGATGTCTAATTTATTGTGGTTTGGTGATTTTATGGGTTTCTTTTTTGTTGGGGAGGAGTTAGGAGGGTGACTCCTTTGGGAGGGAACTAAAACAATCTTTCCCTTTTGTTTGGTTTGGTAAAACAACACAGTTAAAATGTTGAAAACCAAATAGTTACCTTCTGCTTCAAAAGCATGAGTAGTTAAAAAAAGAGGGTTAGGGTTTAGGGTTTAGGGTTTAGGGTTTCGTAGAATCGAAGAAGAGTGCCCGAGTTCAAATTCTTTTACCCGTAGATTAGAGTAGTATTGTTCATTTCTAAATCATCTTATATTCCGAACATGCTCTGTAATTTGAATATTAGAAAAATGATTTGGGATTTGAAATCTTTTACACTTGAGGAGTATATTAGATTCCAGTCACACTCTTTGCACCTGATGACAGCTTTTGTTTCTTCAACAGTTCAACTACCGCCCTTTCACATTATTCAAGCCTTTTCTTTTAGAGCCCTTTGCCTCTCTCTTTTATGGCCATCCAGGCTTTGGCTAGCTGAAGGGGGTGGGGTGTCTTGTGTATTGTGTATGCGATCGGACAGCCATGTGGCCACCCAAGAATTTTTCAAAACAAGGGAATTCAAATCTAAAAAATCTCTTAACTATATGTAACAAAGATAAGAATTAAAATTTCTCGTGACAATGTAAGGTGGTGGATAGCCTGACATTTTGGACTCAACCCGTTAACCCGACCCGACCTAATCCGTTAATATTTGTATTTGGTTGGATGCTTAACAGGTCGGGTCGGGTCGTTAACGGGTGAACCCGTTAAATAACATGTCACTTTGGGTCAACCCGTTAGACCCGTTAGGACCCGTTAACACGCGTTAGCACCTCTTAGTTGAGGATATTTTAGTAATTTTAGTAAAGTCTTAATGACAAAAAATAAACTGTATGCAAAAAATAAAAATAATAATAATTGTTAACGGGTGAAACGGGTGACCCGTTAGCTTAACGGGTCGGGTTCGGGTGACCCGTTAGCTTTACGGGTTGGGTTCGGGTAACCCGTTAACTTAACAGGTCGGGTTCAACCCGATCCAAATCCAATAAACTCGACCCGTTTACAGGTCTAGTGGTGGATATAAGAGATTTACAAACTAATGTAACACCAAGAATATGGATCTTATAGCCTGCCTTCTGGTTAGTAAAGCAAGGGCATGCTTGACTTCTCAATCTCTGTGATTTCACTCCACAATTTCGTGGCCGTATCCATTTTGTGTTGTGCTGCACTTCCCACTCGATGGTAGTTGACTTTACGTTGTTCGTAAACAGGCAATATGAAAAAGAAAGTAAAGAATGGCTAAATGAAAAATGTTTGGGAAATCCTTGTCTCAGATAGATTATTGTTGAGAGAGCCTTATTGCCCTGGTGTCAAGGAACAGGGCATAAAAGTTTTTTTTCGTGGATTGGGATCAACTATTTCGATTTCCAGGCAAAAGTTTCCTTCAGTGACCGAGTTTTGTTTGATTCTCAGACAAAGTTTCCTGGAAAAGAGACAAGGCAACTGTTTAAAAGAAAGGTTTCGAATCAGGTGCATAGGTTCTCTCTGGGTTTTTGAAGGTGAAAGTTTAAGAGGAAAGGATTTGAGTCGGTAGGGGAGCACAAATGATGTAGGATTGAGATACTAAAATGTCATTTGCTAGCCACGGGAAACTTAGACGAAGTTGAATTCTTGCAAATGAATACTCTTGAGATTTAAATCTTTCAAGAAATAAACCGGCTCTAAAATCAGTGAGTTGCAGACCTTGTTAGTTATGATACTTCAGCCTTGGGGGCTCAAACAAGATAAAACTCCATTCAGTTTTAAATGATTAAGCCTGGTTTTGTAAGTTTCAAAAAGAAGGACGAGGACATAGACGTTACTACAAGCAAAATACTGTCGAAGAATGTAAAAACTTCGGCACTAGTTCCAGGAATCATTACCAGAATCGTTGAGCAACTCCGAGTGATGGCCTTGATATGCAGTTTAACTCGTGTACCATATCAAGACACAAATTTCGCTGTGAAGAAGTTTTCCGGCAACACCCCAAGATCAACCCGATTTTGTACATCAGCAACCTTCATTCTGTTCAGCATACAAGTCATTAGTTCATGATGTTAAGACGTCGTATACAAAGGTCCACCAAACGCTTGAGAGCCTTAATATTTGTTTTTTGAAGGCATCACATGCACAGGCACCAAGCTTTAAATCTGGCTACAGGGTAGTAATCTGGTGTTCTTCTAGGCTCCTGACGAGTAAAATTAAGTAAAATCAGGCCAAAACCAACCCGATCTCAATTCGAGTATTTATTAGATTGGATTGATGCATTGTCCGTCCATTTCATCACAAACTCAACCCGAATTTTCGTCTGAAATCAATTGTCCACATATTATTATTCCCACGTCATATTATACAAGTAATGTGTAACTTTGGATGACTATTAATGTTTGTTGACTTTCAACCCGAATTTGCGCCTGAAGTCAATTGTCCACATATTATTAGTCCCACGTTATATTATATAAGTTATGGATAACTTTGGATGACTACTAAAGTATGTTAACTTTCAATTGGATGATGAATGATAATTAGGCTTTACATTTCTCGGTTGAAACTTTAGTACATTTTTATTATTCAATTCCAACTTTTGCATAGTTGAAAAAACTTCCGTTTCTCTTTAAGAAAAAAAAAAGTAAATAGCGGATTGCCCTACTGATTAGAGTGTTCATTTTCAACTCACAGTGTATCGAGTTTAAACTTTTCAAACACTTCGAAAGCCATTCAATAACCGGAAGATTCAAATCTTTTAACCGAAGATATTTGGTACCACTCATACATTTGAGGGTTTTACACAATAACGCTTCATGTTTTCATGTTCCTAGTTCCTACACTAGAACATTATCAAACAAGGGAAAAGGTCAACATATTTACTCTGGAGGTGAACACATTTACATGACAAGAAAGGCGGCACGCGTTCATTTTCCAAACGTAATTCTATCAGCTACGTATGTGGAATACGAGGACCGAGTCCTGCGCGGGATCAGTCGAAAACGTCAAGCGGACCGCTTAAAATAATACCTGCAAAGTTTTCAAGAAATTAGTTTGTTGCGAAAGTCGGTATGTATGTATGTTGGGAGAGGATGAGGGAAAGAAGCGAAAGAAAACATACACGTATATCTTTATGCCATAAATAGAAGCATATTTTCGTAGAAGGCGTTCGACGGAGTACCATTCTGCACGATCTGATGCATCTTGATACCCAATACGAGGCATGTGGATTGAAGCTTTAAAATCAGGCAGAAGAGTATGACATGAGAGGTTTAACTTGTCAGAATCCAAATTAACAAACATTAACACATAAAGAACTACACTTTTGGATTGCAAATATTTACCAGAACTTTGAGCAGCTGAAAACGATGCTTTCGATAAGCAACTTTCCAAGTCAGGGATAGAAATCTTGCTGCGGGGTACTTTACGCCTAGGATTATAAGATTGCACAACAGCCAAAGCCACCCATTGAGGGGGATTCGAGTCCATCTCAGGCTCATCTGAATCCTCTACAGTAAGGAAGAAAGTTAACTACAAATTGTAAAATATACTTCAAGCTGAAATGATATACAAATTTCCGCATAGTGCATTGTGAAGCCAAGAGCTACTTATAGTTTTCTCATTATACCTTTGGACAGAACATGATCAAGAAATTATTGTGCTGCAAATGATATAATCACATTTCTCTAGTACTTCTATGCAGAATAGATTCCTTTGTATAATAAGCGACGAGACGAATTTAGATAACATAGAGACCAGAGGCTAACCATAAACTCTTATAAGGTGAAGATCACCAAGATGCAGGTCACCAAATTCGGAAGCTCGTTGATACGCATCAGGGATACTTGCAGATAGCTTGGACAGTGCATCAAACATTCCTCCACGACCCCAGTGTCCAGAATCATCAACACAGCTGTGAAATAAACATAGAAATAAGGTCTGGCAGTAAATCACCGACCACCTACCGAGACAGAGAGTTTTTGAAACTGAAGTAGTTTGAGCACATTTATAATACCAAAGGAAAATAATTAAATAGAACCTTTTATCATATGGTAGCAAACTCTCATTATCTCTGGACATAATAAGGAATCATGCTGCAGAATGAGTTCATCGGCAGAAAAAATCCACTGACGAATAATTCACTTGAGTAATAATCTTTATTTTGTATTAAAAGATTCATCAATTGTGTGGTGCCCCGGCTATTATCTCTAGAGAGTTAATAAAATAAACTGGTAACAACTATTAATATTTAGAATATAAAATCCCACAACAATTCAAAGTCTTGCATCACAATATATAAGATCTTGTGCCCACAGACACACGTCCAGTTGGTTTGGGATTAACATGATGTTAGAGCAGGCAATTCATCCACTTGTTTGGCTCAATCCAGCCACACTTGAGATTACAATTGGGATTATAAAATAACCGATGTTGGATTCAAGGAAAGAACGAAAGAATGAAAAATTATTCAAGCATTAAGAAGCCTTACAAACAAAAGAAAACTGTTTGAAGAGCAAAATATCAGAAACACAAGAAAACACATATTCACCGTTCTAACTCAACCAATGCAATATAATGAGAACATTCAGGAGGAGGAATTTAGTGATATTAAATTTACCTGAAAACAATGGCAGGCTCAGAGGGGCAAACTTTTGATGGTTGTGTACAATCCCCATAAACAAATTGGACAGAACCTGAATCAGACATCATGTCACTATCCACAGGGCTGATAGGGTCTTCAACAGACAGTGAATGGTATCCAAGCTCTTCCCACTTAGACAACTTCTTCTCCTCTGCTTTCTTCTTTGCAGCCTCAAGTTTTAGACGTTTTTCCTCGAGTAGATTTCTTCTGCTTCCCGTATCCATATTTTCTTGTGACACCTCCTTGAATTTTTCAACCCAAGAGAGATATAAAGATTCATCAAAGCCCAAATTGAAAC